AGAGGTGGTTCCACGCTCCTCAAATCTTCCTTATCAGATGCCTTGTTTTGGAGCGTAGTTTATCGTCTTACCCAGGACGGTTATTTTTTATGAATATGGTATCTCAGGCCATTTCAATATTGTAGGATCTACTGTTATCTAGACATATAAACAGAATTTTATATATATATATATATATATATATATATATATATATATATATAGATAGATAGATAGAGAGAGAGAGAGAGAGCAAGAAAGGGAGAGAGAATGAAGTTGAGATTCATTGCTTTTAAACAGTATATTAACAATATTTATATCCGGATTCGGATTTTTGTCCTCATCTTCGTTGTTCTTATAACGTTTTGGCCGTTGTGCCCTCCGGCCTTCAACAACAAAGATGAGGACAATAGTCCAAATATAAATAATGTAGATAATGATAAATTCTCACTCTAGAAATCTAGAAAATAACCGTATATATATATATATATATATATATATATATATATATATATATATATATAGCTCGTATCAACCATTCCATGTTCATATAAATGTACATACATACATACATACATATATATATATATATATATATATATATATATATGAAGAGATGGCGCGAGAGAGAAATGCATTGTGAAATTGCAGGATATAAGCATACAGATGAGCAACAGACTTAAATAGATAACTTATCAAAGCATATACTATTTACTAGTAACCCTGTCTTAATAATATGTCTTATCTGTTCAATAAGGTCAAATTGGACGCTAACCTAAAAAATGATATACAATCCGTTATTAAATTGGGCATCAAGTGGGTTGTTAATTTTAATGTCTCCCAAACGAAACTTCTCAATTCTAATCGTTTGAAAGAATCCTTTTTACCTTCCAGAAGCATGGCTGATGCTAACCTCCAGGAGAGTGACTCATTACGCTTTCTCTGAGTAAGGTTTTCTGCTGATATGAAGCGAAAAGAGTAGATTGAATCAATTGCTAAGTCTGCAGCTAGAAAATTTGTCGTTGTAGACAATTTTTCTCGCCAGAATCTATCTTACATATTTATAAGTTTACCATTCGTTCTTACTTTGAATATTGCTGCCACATCTGGTCTGGTGCTCCTACTATATATCTACATTCAGACATTCTTGGTAAAATCCAACGATGAATCTGCAATGTTATCCGTCCTGATCTGGCATCTCGGCGTCAGTTACTTTCCCACTGCTAGAGCAATGTAATGTACGGCCCGACCCATTTCACGGAAGTAATATTTTAATGATCGATTATTTCTGGAAGTATGAAATAAATTTGGGAAATAATATGTGCCGAACGGCGGGACAGTTTGCGGAACAGAATGCACGTTTCATGCCTTCAGAGTATTCATCTTAGATGGACAGGTATAACATTTCATCACCCCCACCCCGTTTAAGCTTATCAAAATGAACCTTAGTTTTATTGGTATTTATTAAGCTTAATTTAATATAACAGAGAGTCAGATGTTTTGGCGTCCCTGGGAGGATTGAAGTCAGTGATATTAATTTTATAGACATTTCACAAGCCTTAATTTCCTGTGACCCATGGATCTTCTAGGTGGATCCCTCTCTCAGGTAGGAAGAGTTTGCCTACCTTAAAAATCAGCATTCGAAGTCCTGATTTCTTCCTGGGATTGAACTCCAGTACTCAAATATCTCACATACCAAGCAGCCGTTAAGTCATATATTTTTATACTCACTCACAAATATATATGTGTGTGTGTCTGTGGTTGTGTGTTTGTGAGTGTGTGTGCGCGCGCGATTGCTTTTGTTTATGCATTTGCGTTTATATCTATCTACGTATGTGTGTGTATGTCTGTGTGTGTGCGTGTGTTTCCTTAATTTCTGAAGTATTTGTGCTTGTTCGGAGGTTTCATGGCTTTTACTATGTCTGTGAACCACCTACCGCCGACGTTTCCCCCACTACACGAGACGCTTCTCAATAGCAAATCCTGCCTCACGAATCCACGGGCTGGGATCCCAACTGCCTACTTTCGTTCCTCATCTCTTCTTTCCATCTCGACTCTCCCAATGAAACTGCTCTCCTTTTTGATTATTTTCTCATGCAATAGAGAGAGAGAGAGAGAGAGAGAGAGAGAGAAGAGGAGAAAATGAAAGCGAAACAGATCATTCCTCTCTCTCTTCTCGCTATCGTTATCTTTCAGTTTATACCATTTCGTTCTCACTTTCTCTCCCCCTCTCTCGCTGTCACTTTTTACGTTTTCTTTCTTTCTTTCTTTCTTTCGAACCGTCATTTTCTTTTTGTCTTTCTATCAACCGCTTTCTATTTTTCTCCCTGTATTTTCTCGTATCTTTCTTTCTTTTTCTCTCTCTCTCACTCCTACACCGTTTCTGTTTCTATTCTTTCTTTCTTTCTTTCTTCTGACACCTCTTTCTCTCCCTTTTCCATTCTTCCAACGTCTCTCCCCCTTTCTTTCCATTGTTAGACTCTCTTTTTTTCTCTCGGTGTCTCTCTGTCTTTCTCTATCTCTCTCTTAGCATCATTCTTTCTTAATCCCTCTCTCGTTATCTGCTTTTTTTTTAACTCTCTCCTCGCTTCTCCCTCGCTATCTTCCGGTCTCATTCTCAGGAAAATCGACGAATACACAAAGCTACTGAGAATATCACCAACGAAAAATTCTTTGGGAAAATGAAAACAAAAAGAACGCTAATACATCAGAAATCGACAGTTGAAATTTCTAGGGTACATAATGTTATATACCGTACATATGAACACTAATGGGTATGTCTCAATCCTCATAAATAGGTTGGACACTATTGTAAGTGGTGGTAATATGCTGCCTAAGTAGTCCACCACTAGAAGTGGTTTACCTACTTCGCGCCGCTGGTGAGTATTGTATTTTGTTGATGTTATAAAGATTACCATTTCATTTCCAACCTCGTTTTGGTTATTCCTCATTCAGTAACCTTTCTTAGGTTACAACACATAATGAGGAAGGAGGGCGTGCAAAATTGATACTCACAGCACAGATCAATTGCAAGAGGGACAGAGTTAGACAACGGATAACTTAGCTAGAGAGAGTGAGTACATGGATAGCAGAACAGGGCTTAGGAGATATAACAAAAAGACAAAATTTCTTGAGAGCTACAAAGGATAGGACATTGTGGAGAGCTGTGATCGCCCACGTCCTGAAAGGATACGGCACATAGAAAAAGAACAAGCTATTGTTTTAAATCCTCAACAAAATAGGTCGCGCGTTAAATAGAAAAGAAGATTATTTCAGCATTTAAACAGTTTTTATTGTTTTCTTGCTTAACAAAGTAAAAATAATTTTTGGACAAGGTAGTCAGTTGCTATGAAAAATAAAGTTATTTCAAGAATTCAAAACAAAGGAAATCACTTCATCTACAACAGCCTGGAATATCGGAATCAAAATGGATTCTTTGAAAAAAAACTTCTTTTTTGCTGGGATTCAAAGGAGTTTCCTAAATGAAATTGTTATCGTACAATACTGCTTTGAGCAATTGGCACGTTTGAAAGCATCATTCTAGCATAAAACAACCTGTTTTGGAGTAAACATGACAATCAGTAATGCAGCAAACAATCAATGGAATTTGTATCAAAAGTTTTTTTTCCATATATGGTAAATTATCCATTATTGTATTTTTCAGTCATTAATAGATTTCAACAATTTTAGTTATATCGGTGGATTCTTCCAAATTTACAAAGCTGAACTTTTTTTTTTCTGGCACAGTGTCATCAATGGGAACTTTGTTTCAATGAAATTTGTAAATTCATCGAAACACATTCATTAGAATCATTATTGTGAAATACAAAATTATCCTGAAAGTGGGCAAAAGATAAAAAAAAAAAGAAAAACATACACGGAAAATAATGACGCTATGAATTACTTTAAATAAAATTTGCAATTTTAGTATCCAAAAATTATACGTGTTGAAAGGTTTTCGGTCCCACCCAAGAAAAATGATAAAAATCAAATTTTAAGGTATGCTATATTTAGGGGTAAAAGTGATCAATATTAATATAAATGTGGTTAAGATCGGGTGACAATAGCCTGTTTCATTGTTGAACACAGTTTACATAAAGATTGCTAACTTCTTTAGTCATTTTCAAGGGGGTTTGTTTGGAGTATTTTTTCATTTTTCTTTGTCGTTGATTGTTTAAGATGTGTTTTTGTGTGTGTGTGTTTTGAAGTCTAATAGGACCGTTTATTCCGATAAGGTGAGATTGATAGTAGGAGCGAGATGTTTTACATACAGATCTTCTCTTACAGCGAGACGTTTCCGGTTATGTAATTTATATAAAACTTTAGCGTTTTCGACCTGAATTTTCCTTAAGGGTTCTAGTAAATTGTTTGTGACTAGATGTTTTTTTATAGCGCTTTCATAAGATGTGACACGTGAGGCGTCTATTCAAGTAAGTGGTAGTATGGCCGACATAGGTAATTGATTTAAGACGAAAGACAGTTTTGTACTGGGCAGTGAAATTGCTGCACTTCATTGGTTACTGCTAGTTCAAATTTGATGGGGTTATTTTGATTAGTGACAAGGTTTGCATATATATATATATATATATATATATATATATATATATATATATATATATATATATAACAAACAGGGAAGTTTTTTGTGACGCGTTTCCTCCTCTGTTAAGATTTCATCGGACTGGGCTTTGTTGATATTGCCACGTCTACACATGCGCGCGAAACAGGAGACGCAGGTAATTTCAAAAATTTTGAAATAATATTTTTGTGAGAATATTTTTTTCTCAATCTAGCCGAAATCATCTGTATACTTTTTCTTTTTCTCTCCATCACCTTTTTCCATGACTATCACTAACAATATAACTACATGCGTCTCTCATTTCGTGCGCATGCGTAGACGTGGCGACGTCAACAAAGCCCAGTCCGATGAAATCCTAACGGATGAAACGCATCACACAAAAAAAACCTTTTCAGTTTGTCATAATTTTCCAAATACCGTTTGTTGAAATATAAGATTATACAAAATTATATATCGTTATATCATATAAAGGGTGTCTCACTAAGACGGGTTATACATATAAGGGTGTTTCATTAAGAGGGATCAAAGTAAAGAAATCAGTGTTATTGGTGAAAATTTATTTACTTCTCTATTGAATCATGTCATTTAAGTCATGGCAATTATGTATGAAAAGTAATATTGCCCAAATGTCCTCCAAATCTGAAAGAAAAAGAAAGACGCTTAAAATTAATTCACATTTAAAATCAATCTGTTATTAGAACACCTTTTATATATGTGTATATGTGTGTGTATGTGTGTTTATATGCGTGTATGTGTGTGTACGTGTGTGTATGTGTGTGTATGTGTGTGTATGTGTGTATATATGTGTATGCGTATGCATGTGTGTGTATGTGTGTGCGTGAACAGATAAATCTAAAAGATAAATACGTAGATACATGTATTCAAGATAAAACACGTATATGTGAGTACGTATGTGTGTGTGAGATTAAATACAAACCACACATATTGGGTGTGTGCGAAAGTTTTCAGTCTTCTTTTGAGAAAATTAGAGCCGAAATACAAAAGTAGAAACAATTTCTTCCCTGGAAAATTTTGCGCGTACTTCTAAAATATATAATGGCAAATGAACAGAGCAAAACAGATGCACCTATTAACCCGGACGACTGAGAAACCATGTTCAAAATGACTATTTGCACGTAAACCAAATTTGACTATAAAAAGGCGAACGTCCTTCAAACATTTTTAAGTCGCAAACAGATAAATAACTATTGAAATAGACACACATAAACCAACGCGATCGAAGATACGCCCCCCACCCACATACAGTCATAAACTACACCCCTGGGTTCTTGAGTTCGTATAATACACACGCATTGACATGCCAAATTTAATAAAATAAATATGTATTCAAGTATAAATAAATAAACGCCAAAGGTAACTGTTGGTAAATTTGTTTTTGCAGATCATTTGCTGAAGGAGAAAATTACATTCTCATTGCTGAACTCATTTTGATGACACTGTGTCAGAAAAAAAAATCTTCAGATTTGTAAATATTAATGTAGATGTGTGAATTAAACGTTATTTCTCCTGGTGAGAATCAAACTTAGTATAAAACGGAATCGTTTGTAAGGTGTTCAATATATGTAGAGATGCTGAGTGGAACAAGCTAAGAATTGATCGGTACAGAATATTATATGTAAAAACCTGTACATATCTATATATAGCGCAATTTATTATCGATCTCTCTATCTATCTATGTTGGGTAACTGAATAACAAAATGAAAAAATTCGATGTAATTTAAATTTTGTGTCTCGTCCTCTAAAGAGGACTTCATTAGAAGATAAAACACGTTACATAGAATTTTTTTCCATTTCGTCTTTTAGTTACCTTTTAGTTTTCATATATGATATTTGTATATCATATTCTCTTATCTATCTATCTATCTATCTATCTATCTATCTATCTATCTATGTGAATCTCAGTATATACCATAATTCCCCATGTATAATACGCATTCATCCATAATATGCACCCCTAAAATTGTGCTGAATGTGTGGGAAAATGCTTCTACCCATGCATAATACGCACCCCTTGTTTGGTAATCAAACCCTATAAATTGGACCTCTCCAATTTCATTGCGGCTCGGGTTTCCCACTCTCATTTAAAATGGTTTTAAAATAGAATAATTTATTTTTATGATAATCCTTATTTTATTTTACATTTGTAAGCATTATTTGGTATATGTGATTGTATTTGACATCCTTATGGGGTCACAAACGCGGAATGTTAGTGTTAAATTGTTGTATGTTTGTGGTGAGTAGTCATTTCGCAACTGAAATTGACCTATGAAACGGCAGTAGCTGTGCATAATACGCACCCCTTATTATTTTTAGAAACAATTCGTGTTATACATAGTGAATTATATATAAATATGTGCGGTTTGTATTTAATCTCACACACACATACGTACTCACATATACGTGTTTGATCTTGAATACATGTATCTACGTATTTATCTTTTAGATTTATCTATATATATTTTTTTTTAAATATGTTTTTGTGCATACAGAGACAATCTGTCTCTCTCTCTCTCTCTCTCTCTCTCTCTCTCTCTCTATATATATATATATATATATATATATATATATATATAAAAAAAAATGCTAAAAAGCTTTGGATTATTAACCTAACGTGTTATTTCCTATTTTTCTATATATTTGCACACACACACACACACACACACACACACACACACACACACAAACACACACACACCTATATATATATATATATATATATATATATATATCCATGTAAAATGTGAACGAATAGAATCCAATTCCGACGTTCAATTTAAAAGAGGGTTCATTCCAAAAGTCGAGCAATATTCTTTCTTTTAGGATATTACATCAAAAACGTGTAAAAACGCTACATAAATGCAATTATGTTTCGATGTGTATTAACATATAACGCCTGATGAGTTGTGTTAATACACATCGAAACAGGGTTTGTGTAGCGTTTTTACATGTTTTTGATGTAATATCCTAAAATAAAGTATATATATATATATATTAAAGAAATCTATGACAAAGCAGAAAAAATTATTCTGACTAGTTTTGTCATTTAGGGCCTTATTGGATTAAAGTGATGTTTAAGTTGATGTGTCTACGCATGCGCACGTAAGAGAGGGAAAACAGAAAAATTGTAATTTAAATTACTTTTTTTTTTTTAAATATGTTTTTGTGCATACAGTGTACCCGAGTTAATTTAGTTTCTTTTGTTTATGTTTTTCATTATTTTCGTCATTAAATATCCCACACTGGGATAATAAAAGATCTGTTAAGAAAGGTGAAATGTTACAAGAACCTGGACACAAATTTACTGTGGAAGAACAAGTAAAAATATTTTCATCTTAGTTTATTGCTTTCTCTTTTATTACGAGCAAAACTTCGTGACTTATAAAATTATAAACAAAATTTTATATACTCACAAAACCATTTATTAATCAAATGCATATCTCCATTTTTCTTAACAACTGTCGGCCATCGTTCTACAACATTGTTGATGCCATTTTCGTCGAAACTTTCTGTTTTTTGTTGGATGAAGTGTGAACCGTCAAATGTTTTGTCATTTAAATTGTTCTGTAAAGACTGGAACAAACGAAAATCTGAAGGAGGCGAGTCTGAAGATTCGGTAGGTCCTGGACGCTTTCCCATTTCAACTCGGAGCTTCTGCAAGATCGGTTTTGCAACATGCGCTCTTGTGTTGTCCTGGTGAAAAATGACACTTTTTCGATTTGTCAAGTCTCTTCAAATGGCGAAAGGCAGTTGTGATATTGATTTTCAAACTTTTAGTAATCTCTTCCATCGATACCAATTGTTTCTTCTCCATGATGGCAAGCAGAACGTCTTCATCGACGTCGGAAGGTCGCCTGAAGCGCGGATGATCGTTTAAGCTAAACCCACCCTGACGAAATCTGCCAAACCCCTTTTTGACCTTTCGAAGAGCTGGAGTACGATCGAAATAAACCTTCTGAATGGTTTTTATCTCGCAGTTCTGATGCTTGTCTCTTTCCGAAATTCATAGAATATAATTGTGACGAAAGTGCAAGTTTTTATCCACCATCTTTAGGTCATTTATTTGTGGACAAAACGACAACATATAACACAGTCTGACTCTCGCAACCGAAAGATACAAGGTTTCAGTCTCGAACATACCAGTTGTGGTTATTTTATATTAACACTGAAAATCGAGCACGGACTTTTGCAATTATCTGATAATTAAAATAACATTTTTTTTTTATTATGGTTAGGCTCATTACAGTGAACAACTAATTCATTGGATGGGTTGTTTTGTAAAAGACCCCTTTTATGTTCATACAATCTTTTATGAAATTCCTTGCGGTTTCTCCTATTAGTCACTATCTTTTTGTGGCAATTATTACAGGTGATAGAGCAAATTAAATAGGTTTTTATTGTTTTAGAAGTAATTAAAACAAAGGCTGTGTTTCATACTGTCATATTAAATATTTTAAAATTTTAAATATTCTTCTCTTGCTGATAGATTTTTTTTTTTACTCCAGTGGCAGTGGAGACTTCAGGGGTTATTGGCCCTCGTTCGATGGCGTTCCTTCGGAGGATTGGCGCGATTGCATCTCGATTAAGGGACGAGCCTCGTTAAACGGACTGGCTCTTGCAGCGTGTCTCACTGGCGATGGTTCGAGGTAATGCTTTCTCCATCATTGCGGTTGGCAGAGGTTAGAAAAAAATTGTTTATAGTTACTTTGTTCAAACTTTTTTTTTCAGTAAATAAATTTCTCTATACTTAAAAAAAAAAAGAAAAAAAAAGTTTGCTCTATATTACGGATTTTTAATCGTGTCTGTTTTATTTTAAAAATACAGTTTAAATAAAGACAGCAAAAGGAAACTGGGGTGTACACAGATCAAAAAGATGCGATAAAAATAATAAAATGATGCGAGAAATTTAGTCAATACAAGGAATTAACTTAACGGACATGATTTTTCTTTTTTTTTTCTTTCTTTTTTTCTTTCTTCTTTTGCTTCCTACTTTTTTTCTTTCTTCCTTTGTTTCTTTCTTTCTTTTGTATGGCGTTGTTGACATTTGGATAATACTTTCATATTACAATACTGTTTTCCAACTCTTGTTTAATCTGTCTTATTCTCTCTTGTAATCAATCCTTCTCTTTTCTCTTAATCAAACATGATCTTTCTCTCCCTATCTCAAATGTGTCTTTTCTCATAACCTTTCCTCTATCCACCTTTCTTCCTCTTTTAACTTTTTCATTAAAACACTCTCTTATTTTAAGTCACTATTTCACAATGTTTACTACTGCCTCTCTCAACAACACTCAGAGAGGCATACTTTTAAAAACCCTACACAAAGAGAGGGTAAAAGCAGTACGTTGAGAATAAGCAGTTAATCTCGCAAGCAATTAATAATAGATTTTCAGTGGTAATAAATACTGCATGAGGGAGCCTGCTTAAAAAAAATGAAATTCATGGGTTCAATTCTAGTTGCAAGCGTGTGGCAGATAAATATGAACAAATATCTATCTATCTATCTATCTATCTATCTATCTATCTATAGAAATATGTTCCTATCTATCTATCTATCTATCTATCTATCTATCTATCTATCTATCTATCTATAGAAATATGTTCCTATCTATCTATCTATCTATCTATCTATCTATCTATCTATCTATCTATTGAAAAATGTTTCTATCTATCTATCTATCTATCTATCTATCTATCTATCTATCTACACAGATTAGTTTAATATAGTACAAGGTTACAAATGTGAGTCTAGCCAGGTAGCATCGAATTCGTTGCAGTGGTAATGTCAAGCTAGATACGGGCGTTAAGCATTTTATTCCATAACCGTTTACAACGGCTTTGGCTCAAATGAGAAAAAATCAGTATAAAACGATTTTGCTGAGACAATCCTCCAAAAGCGTTCGTCAGTTTCGCCTTGAAAAATGATTCGAAAAATACATACGCCTAATATATTGACTAAAGTGAACTTTGTATGGCACAAGAGTAGAAACACTGAGAACTCATTAAGGTTTGCTCTCACGACAGTAGTAAGGCTCTTATAAATAAGTTCACCTGACATTAATACAAGGTGAGGTTACGAACTTATATATATATATATATGTATATATGTATATATAGGAGGTCGGTCTCTCTTGCTCTATCTCTGTTTTTTTCTATCTCTGTTTTTTTTTGTTCTGAGCGAAACAACTAGAGTACGGCATGTTCTCACAGACACGCATGCGCAGTCACACTTTTACTGATTTCTGTATTTACATTCGTATATGATCGTTCTGCGTATTAGCTTTCACATCTGCATACGTTGTCTCTCTTTCAACTGTGCGTGCGTATTCGGTAGCCATGAGCACTTCCTTGAACTCTTCTAAACACATACACATAGACACACACACACACATATATATGAGCACGCATATGCGCAGACGAATGGTGCCAAGTGAATCGTTCTCCCGCTGAGACAATACAACATACACACAGATACACATACAGAAAGAGAGAGAGAAAGAGAGAGAGTGAGGGAGAGAAAGCGCGGGAACACGAAATCGTGTGCACGCACTGGCTTTCTACTAGAGCCGAATCAAATTGAAGAGTTGAATTGGAAAGATGGAGAGTGTATCGGAAAGAAACATAGGGGTTTAGAAGATAGAAATAGGGAAGTATTGGAAAGAAGAAGAGAGAAGGAGCAATGAGCAGAAATGTTATAATGAATAAGAAAGAAAGAAAGAAAGAAAGAAAGAAAGAAAGAAAATGGATGGAAAGGAAAAAAGAAGAGAATAAAATAAGAAAAACCAAAGAAAACGAAAGTAAGAAATAAAGTAAGAGAAACTGAAAGAAAAAATAATAAAGAGAAAGAAAGAGAATGAGAAAAGGAATAAAATGATAAATAGCAATAGCAAGAAAGAAGATAGAACGAATGAAAAGGAAGTAAAAGTTATGATAAAGAAAATTGGGGAAAAATAAGAGAGAAACGAGCAAAGAAAGAATAGAATAAAAAGAGAAAAGAAAGAAAGAAAAACTGAATAAGAGAAAAAAAAGAAAGATTTGAAGAAAAATAGAAAGAAAGAGTAAAGAAAAAAAGGGGAAAAAGAAAAGCTTCAATGAATATGGAAACGAAAGAATAAAGAAGTGACGAGTAAAAGAAATAAAAAAATGAAAAAGTGAAAGAGTAACGAAAAATAAAGTAAAAAGAAAAAGAAAAGAAGGCTTAAAGAAAAACAGAATAGAAAGAAAGAAAGAAAGAAAGAGTATTCAGTATAAAAGATAGCAAAGGAAGAATGAATGAATGAATAAGATGAAAAGAGAAATCAAACATAAAAGAATGGAAAATCGAAATAAAAACAGAGTAAAGGAAAATGACAATCAAAAAAGAAATGAAGGAGAGGAAATAATCCGGTATCAAAGTCGGTCTTATGAGGAGATGTGAAGAGCAAGGAGGATATGGAGAGTAAGGAGAATATGAAGAGCAAGGAGTATATGAAGAGCAAGGATGATGTATGGTTTCAGGATTCGGGACTGGATAAAAAAACGGAGAGAATTGTCGAAGGTTGAGAGATGGGATCTGTTTTCGGATGAATATAACATCAAATCAACAAATAAACAAATAAAACAAGAAGGATTTGCTGTAACAAACACATGTAACATTTTCCTGCAGCATGTTTGAGGATGGGGGGTAGTGTAGACACAAGCATACACGCATATCAGTATAACTCGGCGTCTAAATATATATATATATATATATATATATATATATATATATATATAAATGCACGCGGGTGGGACTCTATGTTTTCTATGTACGTCTGCACATGTAAAATGCGTGTGATCCGATAAAAAAAACAAAACATGATTACTGCATTTAATTGTTTATGTTTTGTGCATGAGATTCTGTAAAGTTGATGTGTGAGAGAGTGTTCTGTTTTATTTGCTGCGTCTGTAATACATTTAAGGATACAGTCTGTGGCTAGTGGATAGAACTTCATAGGCAGGCGTTTAGGTGCCTGAGCATGCGTTTGTTCGTTAGCTAATAGATTAAGAGGGCAAGAAAAATATCAATAGTGGCAGCAGTATATATATATATATATATATATATATATGTTTTATTAAAGGCGTCTTTAATGAAACTGGTATAAAAGAGGGATTGGTACCCAAATACATAATTATATATATATATATATATATATATATATATGGGGGAGATGATATATAGATTTTATATATCAAGCACAATGTTAGAGTAAAAACTGTGCACATGCGTAGTGCATTAACGTAAGCATCACTTTATTCAAATGAAATCCAAAAGGACGAAAGGCATTACTCAAAACTTTTTTTGTGATAGTTTTTTCTTAATATCTACACCTATCTTTCCCGTTTAATTCTGTCTTAAAATATATCAAGAGATTAAGATCATAGGCAATACTAATTTTCTTTATACGGCAAAGTAGTTCTGAAAAAACAGATACAAATGACGTATGGGTATCAGTTCAGCTTGGGCAGCATGCAGAGTTTTATATATATATATATATATATATATATATATATATATATATATATATATATATATATATATATATATATATGTGTGTGGGTGGGTGGGTGGTTGTGCGTGTGTGTGTGTGTGTGTGTGTTAAAGTTCTCAATATCAGGGATAGAGCGTATGTAAATATAAAAGTTGGCGTTGAAGTCAACACCCAGAGGCTATACTGTTTCATGCTTAAACGCAATCGACAGTCGATGTCACCTCTGGATGTTGATTCAATGTCCATTTATATATATATATATATATATATATATATATATATATATATATATATATATATATATATATATGGTTGTTCGTGAATTAAGTTTTAGGCGTTAATTACTGCTAGGAATTATGAATTAACCAACCAAGGTTTAATGATAGAAAACTTTGTTAAGAATTAGTTTATCATCTCTTCTGACAGAATGTCATTTATATTTGCATTTCAGGGTTTAATTAGGAAAACCCAGAAAGAGAGAAGTGGTTTTTCTCCAAAGCTTTCTCTTGAAAACCAAACGTACCATTCTACGATCTGCAGCTTTTAACCAGAAATACATACCACCCATTTTCGTATTGCATTGTTACAGGTGATGAGAAATGGGTTTTGCACGTCAAAAGAAAACGAAACAGACAGTGGTTATCCTAAAATGACATCCCCGACAAAAGTCCTTGCATAGTGGAATATTGAATATGTCGTCCATTACTATCCAGCTGTAAATGGAATGAGCATCATTGCTGACATTTATTACCAGGAACTTTGTAAGGAACGTGTAAACGAAGCGTTACGTCGAAAGAATTGTGCTTTAATAAACAGAAAATATGTTATTCCCCAGAAGGATAATGCAAGAGCGCAGTGACAAATATCCAATAAAAATATCCGATCGTTTTTCCACATCTTCCATACTCCAGATTTAGTACCTACGTTTATTCTGATCACTGGACGATTCCATATGTGAAAAAAAAAAAAAAAAAAAAAAAAAAAAAACATTTAGAGAGCAAGAAAGTGAAAACAGTTTTTAAGAATTTTCTTTGAGGAAAAACCAGAATTGTTTAAACGGGCAACTGAACATTTGCATTCGCACTGGTGTGCAGTCGTTGAAAAGGAAAGCATTTACATTTTTTATTAAGGTTTAAACAAATTTAAATTACACTTTTGTTTTTTTAATCCATTGTGGTACAACGTAATAACTGACAGAACAAGCTAATAATATATATATATATATATATATATATATATATATATATATATATATATATATATATATATATATATATATATATATATATATATATAGAGAGAGAGAGAGAGAGAGATAATACAAGTAAAAAGTTTTTCACTTAGTTGATTGGTGTTACTTTCAGTATCCCGACTCCAGATTTTCTTAGACGGACACGCCAGGAATTACCCTGTCTACTCGTCACGGGTTATCAGCAATTGACTGCTTATACGTCTCGATTTTTCTTTTATATGTGCACTTTTCATTGGTGCAAGTTTTTTTTTACATCGAACATGTGCACGTGTGTAAAAAGTTCGTAGCGTTTCCTAATAAGTATCGTTTGAAAACGTGATTTCATTTAACACGTGACTGAAATTTATGATATACATATTCTGAAAGATGATATCGAGACATACATCTTTCTATACGATTTCCTGTGTGGATTGTGAATTTTAAATGTTTTTACGCTAAATGTGGAAATGGTGGAAAAGAAGATTTTGTCATCATTTAATGGTTTTTATATCCGAAAATTCAAACAAGCTATTGAAACAGCAAAATATACAACTGCCGTTTACAGACATAGTGCCATAGTTAAGTGTACCGTTTGCAAGTGGTTCGATGTGTTCAGATGTGGAAATTTTGATCTGGAAGCTTAGAAAAATTTCCGGCGGGCCTTCAGTTGTTGATAAATTAACCATATCGGTATACTGATTGAGAATTATCAAGGTCACACGACACGGGAGATCGTAGAGTTACTCCATATATCTCATATGAGCATTGTAAGACAATTGAAAACACTTAGATTTGTCAATTTCTGTTATGAAGAATTAGAAATATTATTAGTCCTGACCTGGTATCTCGTCTTCAGCCACTTTCCCACTGTGGTAAGGTTGCCTCCCTCTGCCTTTTCTATAAATATTTTCATGGTAATTGTTCGGATAAGCTCTTCGCAATGGTACCTAGGCTTTGTGAATTTAAGCGCAATACTTGATT